TATAGTCATACCAGTTTTTATGCTCAAAATTTTGTGTGTGTGAGATTTTTAAGTTTAAGTTCCAACGGTCGTTTCGGACTCCCAAACAAATAGCCTGTACATGACATACATGTATATATGTGCCACATATGCCTACTCTTTGTATTATTGTTACAAAAGGGTCAGCCACATTACATAACGTATAAATACAACAACCATCATTTTGTCATTTCAAATTAAGTTTTTAAAATTTCGAATTTTCAAATATTTTAAAAATTAACTGTATTTTTAATATTGTAAAATGTATGCTAGTTACATAATTTGTATTGCTACTTTTGTCATACAGATGATGTATGGCCAATGTCAATTACGTTGTTTTGGTATGTTTGAATGTATTCTACATATTTGTTGAATAATTTTAATTTCCTTTCTATACCGATAACTACGCTAGATGTAGCACAGTGCAATTGCAGTGGAACTGCACCTGGTGTATATTGTGGCTCACGAACAGGAGGCAACTATTTTCCTAATACGTGTTCGCAGCTATGGGGCGACTGCGACCCTGATACACTTTATTCATGCCAAGAATACAACCTCGGATATATCCCGGCCGTTCTTATACAGAAATGCAGATTTGGTTGTATTCAACGACCAGTTACAGGCAATCCTACTGATAATTGTGGACGCAACCCGGGCTAGTCCAAATTATGTATCATTATACATTTTAAAACAACCAAGTATTAAAGGTGAATTAGTAATTTAGGTATAAAAATTATTGTAATATGCGTTTGGCGACAGATGTTTTTAATTAGCAAACATTTTCTCGGTGGTTTTAAAGTTTCAATATTTTTTTAATGTTTACATTTCATATGATGCCAATATTTAACAAATGTAATTCTTAAATGTAATTTTATTATTAATATATTTTTATTAGTATTTTTTTATAATTTTTGAAATGGAAGCATGTATTGTTTTTTAAATAATATTTAAATAAAGGAATTATTATTAGCATTATACAGCTATTAAGCTATTATTTTAATTTAGAATACTATATTACAAATTGAATTTACAAATAGTTTTTGTTAAATTATGATTAGGATATTTAAACAGCAATTATAATATAATAATTATTCATTTATTTTTTAATTAAAAAAAGTAATAATACAAATATTATTATTATCCTTATTTATTTTATTAATTTGTGCATATATCAAAACTAAATACAAATTTCACCATGTTAATTAACACGTTTCCACAAACGCATGGCTTGATTACGAGGTCGCACTTCACCACCGGATACCAGAAAGTTTAATATCCAAAATTTACTTTCACCGGGATGATCCTCACCAGTCTTAACATTATCACTTAATATACCCGCTTTTATTGTATGATTTTGTATCTCATATCTAGCTTCAGTATAATCTTGCGCAATTTGCACTAACCTTGGTGAATTATCATCTTGAATACTGCCGTTAAATGCCAAACTACTTCCACCTTCAGCCCTAAAAAATAAGCCAGCATATTGTTGTGTAATATCTGTCCAGTTGAATTTAGGCCATAATACACCAGGCTCACTTTGATTGGCTAATTGCGTGTATATGAATCCAACGGGAATTTGTGAAACATCCTGGGTAATATTTTTGCTTAAACTTTCCAGTTGCAATCTAGTATCATTTAATTCCTTTCGAGTATCATCTAGCAACTTTCTACTTTCAACAATGTACTTTTCAATTTGGTCCATGGTCCATTGTTGAACAATTTGTTGACATACTACTAAATTCTTTTTATTACATGGTACATCCACCCATTTACCCAGGTTATCATTATCTGATAGCATTTGTACGCATTCATTAGATTTATTAACTGGCTTACCAGGTAGCCAATTTGTGTAATCTACCATGGTGCTATCATACCATTTAATTGTCGTGTTATTGACCAGGGCACCTAACCATACCTCGTCAACGATTTTAAATTTTGTAAATAGTAGTTGATTAATATAATCTTGTTCATTTTGTGAGTGTATAGTAATCAACGTGGAATTTTTATTACGTTTAATACAGGCATCGAGGGCACCTTGGTTATTAAGCATTGAATCAGTTATAATTTTAAAACATTTATTCTCATTAATTGCATCCCAGTCCCCATTACATGTCGAGTCCGTATAACCATCTAATAATAAATATTAATTAATTAAATAAATTATAATATTTATAAACTCACCAGTAACTAGTAAAGTTAAAACATTTAAAAGTAATATAATTCTCATTGTCAATGATTACTAATTAAATTAAAATCTGTAACAAGTATATTGTAAGTTATTAAAAAGGATCTATTACAAAACAGTTAATTAACTTTAGATTATTGTTTAATTGAAAATAAATCACAATTCAATGACTTAAATGATTGATTTTGTATTGACATTAAGTTTATTATAAACATGGATCTTTTGTTTTATAAGTGTTTTATTTGTTTAATAAATATCAACTGATTTCTTATTGATTTAAACATAGGGTCAATGTTTTTAAAACAAATATCTAAGCTTAATTGTTATTTATTTATTTTGCGTACAATGACTTTAATAACTATCAGTCAGTTACATTTTCATTATAATGTTATATAAACAGTAATTATAAATTTTAACATATTTATATTATATTTTTAAAATAGTAAATCTTTTATATTAATATTTAGGAAAATAAGTTTTGTGATTTAAAATAAAATTATTTTATAGACAATTTGTATGACAAACCCATAGACGCAAACATAGCCAGCAATATTGATTTTTGCATTTGAGACAGGTCATATGATTGCAACCTTGATTTTTCTAAAAATATAGCAAGAATTCAGAAATATTAAGTTATTTTGTTTTGTGATATGTTAATAATAGTATTTAAAGCACCCTACCTCAACTGGCACATTGCATCCAGGGCATGGTTTTGTAGTTTGCCTAATAGTAGTTTCAGATAGCACATTTTCACTCCGATTCATTTCAGCTTGCTCACAATCCACAGTACCATGACATGACCTTTTACATTTTGGGCAAAATGTAAACACATATGTATTGCACGTAGCCAAACCCATTGCAATTTGCACTATTTGATCGCATTTAGGACAATAATCCTAGGTAAGATTTATAAAAGTAACATATTAATAAATTAAAATTAGTGTTAATGACAGTAAAATACTAAGGATGAGTGTATTTTTTAAATTGAATAATATTACTTGCAAGACTGTAACCTTAATTAAATAATTTAATTATATAAATAATTATGGATCATTTAAATTTAATATTTTTTATCAAGTTCACTTACGACATCTGGTGCCTCACTTATCCAAGTCTTTAGGGATAGGGCTACAAATTGCTCGTAGATTGTATTATCAGGATCTAATTGTTTAACAATGCGATGTGGCACTAGATGTGAGCACCGGTAGCCTGGGCACGTTAACCCCTCTAATTGTTTATCGCCAATTTTAGACACCAGGTGTCCGGTCATACAGTTGGCGCAAAATCTATGTTCACAACCGCATGACACCAATCGGTCTATGGGGTGGCTGTCGGTGCATATACTACAGTGAAACTTTCGGATAACCTGGATACTTTGGTCCCTAGCATCACCTTATAATGATTAAAAAGTAGGTATATTTATTAAATTGATAGTGGTACGTTAATAATAATTAAAATATTTAATTAATTTCCCAGAAAAAAATATTTTATTATTTGTATGTTTGTTTGTAATACTAAATTAAATTAATTATAAAGTATATTTTAGTTTAAAATAAATTTGAATAATTTTTACTATTAATTTTACATATACTGTAGACAAAAAATGTGTTTTTAATGTTTTAATCATTATTGAAAAAATAACCTTTCATTAATGATTGGATAATAAAATATTAATTGATAACATTTTTAAAAATAACATTAATTTTATAATGAATTTTAAGTTAATAATAATAATCATCTTAAATACAATTAAATAAAGTTAAATACTTACTGCCACAAAAGCATTTTAAAACAATGATAAACTTATAGCTAAACTGTAGTTGAACATAATTATATATCACTAATGTTGCAATGAATAATTTGGTATTAATGGTGTATCATTAAGATTTTTAGAACATTGGGGGCAGATACTGCTATTTTTTAGCCATTGCATTATGCATTCGTAACAGTAAGAATGACCACACTCAGTTATTACGGCATTGTTGAATGACTCAACACAAATTGAACAAACTTCACCTTCTAATGTTGAGTCTGATCGGGGACAGTTATGTGCACGTGCCCTACCTCGATAAGTTCCTGGTGGCCTACCACGACTTACACCGGGCCCACGTGGAGAATGTGATCCAGATGGCCTTGATCGATTATTACTAGTCCCCTTGCTGGGTTAGATCCAGATGTTCCAGGTTGACTTAATTTTAATTCATTGGTTGGCGTTAGATAAGGAATTTGTGGTTGGCGTGTACTACCTGGGTTAATATGTTTTGCTGATAAGTATAAATAAATTTATTTTAATTCATATATACAATAGTATGTGCAAAAATACTAAACTTAAGCTGTTTATAAACTTACCACGTCTTTCTGAACTTGTTCCTTGGTCATCCTGAAGGGTTAAACTCATTACTGACTGTAGAACTAAATCCGCTAACGAATCACCAAGCTGATTATTCAATGATCTACCAACAGCCCCCTGTGGTGGCTGAGTAGCCAGTAAACTAGCATTTTTTCTATGTGTGTATCGCATTTATCACTACGCATTGTGTGCAACTAGCAAATGTGTGACTAGTAAACTAGTACTCACTTGAAATGACATTTAATTCACACAGTATTACACATTATCTCAAATACCCTATTTTTTATACACAAACCTTTCAATATAAATTATTAAATCATAATCCGGGTTAGATTAGTTTTCAATGATATACACAATAAAACGGCCCTGAAATAAATAATATAAAAACTCGAGTGGTACATTATGAAATTTATATATATATTTATATATCGAGAGTTAAAATGAAAATATTTATTATAGTCAGCTTGTTAGTTTATTCAGCCAGCGCGGTTGATTGGATTAAAGGCCGTGGTGCCCAGGTAGCTTTTGTCGAGGTGGAAGCTGAGCACGCTAATCACAATGGTCAAATAATCGGCAATGCAAGGTAATGTGTACTTAAATAGATCAGTTTGTTTATATGTTATTATACTCTGAAAAAACATACAATATTTAACAATAGTAGGCAATTTATATATATGGCAATTTATTTATAGGCAATCTATATAATAATATTAATCATAGTATACTAATTTATACTATCATAAATTATACATGTAACAATTATTAATTAAGTTATTTATTTTGTTAACTATGCCTTTTATTGATAACACATTATTATTCAATTAAAGGTACTACGGAAATTTATCATCGGAGGCTAGTCAACGTCGGGCGGTTACATTGAATGCGGTGGGCCAGTACGTTGAATTCACCATGCCCATTGAGGCAAACTCGGTTGTCATCCGGTACAGTATACCGGACACCGCACAGGGCAAGGACAAGGAGATAAGAGACGCTGATATCGATCTCTACGTCGCCGGTAATAAACTCAAGGCCCTGACGTTCACCTCGCGGTACAGCCATTATTACGGTGGCTATCCGTTCAACAACGACCCTCATAGTGAAAATCCGCACCACTTTTACGATACCGTACGCACGCTATTGGACAAAACGTACCCAAAAGATACCAAGGTGAAGGTGCAAGTAACGTCCACAGATAAATCGCCCTCGTTCACTATTGACCTAGCTGACTTCGAACTGATAGCCCCTCCATTTCCTCAACCCACGGGCTCGTTGTCGGTCACCGATGCCGCATATGGTGCCGACCCGACCGGTAAAACCGACTCAACCCAAGCCTTCCAAAAAGCGATAGATGATGGCCATAGTCAACAGAAAACAGTGTACATACCTCAGGGCACCTACACTTTGTACGAGCACGTAATTGTGGATGGGGTGACCTTAACCGGGGCAGGTCCGTGGTATAGTGTGCTGGGTGGCAGGCACCCAACTGATCGGAGTAAAGCGTGCGGTGTGTACGGTAAATACATTGATAAAGGTGGCAGCAAAAATGTGCACCTATCCAATTTTGCGATTATCGGGGACATTCGCGAGCGTGTGGACGAGTTTCAAACAAACGCCATTGGCGGTTCACTTAGCGACTCGGTAGTGGATAATTTGTGGTTGCAACATGTTAAATGCGGTAGGTTGCATAGTTATTTGTTTCTAAGTTACTCTAATTTTATAAAGTTAGTAATGTACAAATAATAATTTCATCGTGGTCAAATTAAAAACTATTGAAATAAATTTAAGATGTGATAAGCTAATTTATTTCTATCGGTATAATAGGCGCATGGTTAGATGGTAAAATGGATAACCTGGTCATTAAAAATAGTCGCATCGAGGACACAATGGCCGATGGGGTCAACTTTCATAAAGGGGTGACCAACTCTGTGGTGCAAAACACGTTTCTACGTAATCTGGGCGATGACGGGCTGGCCATGTGGGCCGAGCAGATACCTAACGTGGCCAACAAGTTCATCAATAACACCGTCGGTATACCCGTGTTGGCCAACAATATCGCGATATACGGAGGGAAAGACATCGAAGTAAGTGATAACTTAGTGTACGACACAATTTCTAACGGGGGTGGTATACACATCGCGAACCGGTATCCAGGGGTATCGGGCGAAACCGGCGTAATTGGCCATCATAAAGTGTACCGCAACACTATGCTCAGGTAGGCTGACCAGCTATCAAGTAATTCTGCTGTTACATCCTAGTTGCTAGATTCTAGTATTTTAAGGTAAAAATCAAGTATAAAAATAAAAACTGTTAATTAATGGAGTAAACAATAAGCTATAATAAATTTATTTAAATATTTTAAAATTATTTTTGAAAAGTAATAATTATGATTCATAATTTATGAGAATCTATATTTTATTTTCGAATTAATTAATCATAAATATACCATAAATCATAAATCACTATTTTTAGCTTGTTTATTTTATAAACTAAGGGCCGGTAACAATGATTTCAACTGGCAATTTGGCGTAGGTGCTATTTGGTTCAGCGCACACAATGGGGACATAAATAACGCCACTATTGAAGTTAAAGACTGCGAGATCATCGACGCCTCATACGCGGCCATCATGTACATTGAGAGCAAAGTGTCCGGGGTCACTTTTGACAATCTATTAATTAATGGTACAGGTACCTTTGCCATACAATTGCAAACAGGCGGCGAAGCCACGTTTAAGAATGTCAAGGCGATCAACGTGGGTGAAACGGTACCAATTTACAATTGCGGGGTACCTTTTAAGATGAATATCGAGGGTACCAAAACCGGGTGGTACACTGACAAGCCTAGTTGCGAAGACCTATCAAGTATTAAGCCAAAGTGGCCGTGGAATTGGTAGTTAATCTGGTCACTGCAAGCTTAATTAAAGCATTTAATTATATTAACATAGTATATCGTATCATTAAAAAATATAATATTTTGTTTCTTTGTGGTGATTTTAATTTTACAAATTAAATTTAATAATTATTATCAAGTTCANACGGCCTTTAATCCAATCAACCGCGCTGGCTGAATAAACTAACAAGCTGACTATAATAAATATTTTCATTTTAACTCTCGATATATAAATATATATATAAATTTCATAATGTACCACTCGAGTTTTTATATTATTTATTTCAGGGCCGTTTTATTGTGTATATCATTGAAAACTAATCTAACCCGGATTATGATTTAATAATTTATATTGAAAGGTTTGTGTATAAAAAATAGGGTATTTGAGATAATGTGTAATACTGTGTGAATTAAATGTCATTTCAAGTGAGTACTAATAAAGCATTTATCATAAATATATACTACTTATAGTTATAATAATGATTATATGTTTGCAAAATGAACTGTACTAATTTGGTTCTTGGTTCTTGTGTACTTAAATATGTTAAAATGTTTTATACTGTATTAAACAAGCAAGTAATTTAATACCTTTAAATTGATTCAAAGTACTGTATTTAGTGTACACTTTGTATTGAGATTGTTGATTCATTTTAGAGGTGCCCTTAGTAAGAATAATGTTATTCTTATGATTGGTTATAAGTGTTATTTAAGTTATAATTTTCGCGTAACAATATAATAATAATACTATATTATAGATTAATTAATCAATTTATATTAATCGAATAAGTAATTAAATTTATATTATTTATGATTATATTTTACAAAACTTAGTATATAAAATTGCAATCTTATAAGACATATAATATAACGCTTTATTATGCAATATAACAGTAGTGTCTGTGAAATCATTACACTATAAACAGTGTACTGAATGAATGTAATATATTGTTTTAATTTCTGGGTACCTTATTATACATAACTATTTATACATACAAAACACCCGTTACAATTTTCACCTGCAACAATTCTATGAATTAATTATACAAGCTATCTTGTTTATGTTATAGTATTATATAAACTTTAAACACTTTTGCTGTAGCTTATCAGTTTAAAAGTTGTTGTACATGTATGTATACGTGACAAATTTTACTAACATATCACTGTTTAACCCATTACAACAAAATTCAATTATAAAATTAAATGTGACTAATTTTTCGGCTGTTTGTAAAATGATATAAAAACGCTATTTTACTCATAGTTCTTTTAAAATACAGCTATGATGGGGTTAACACTGGCACCACTTCAATGTAAATATCATCACCCGTTTAAAACATGTCATGGATTTCCAAATAACTGTCTATTTGGGCGTAATTGTCATTACATACACTCTGATTGTCGGTATGGTATGACATGTACAAAACGGGATTGCCCATACACACATAGAAAAAATGCTAGTTCACTGGCTACTCAACCACCACAGGGGGCTGTTGGTAGATCATCGAATATTCAGCTTGGTGATTCATTAGCGGATTTAGTTTTACAGTCAGTAATGAGTTTAACCCTTCAGGATGACCAAGGAACAAGTTCAGAGAGACGTGGTAAGTTTATAAACAGTTTAAGTTTAGTATTTTTGCACATACTACTGTATATATGATTTAAAATAAATTTACTTATACTTACCAGCAAGACATATTAACCCAGATAGTACACGCCAACCACAAATTCCTTATCTAACGCCAACCAATGAATTTCAATTTAATAAGCATATCTACTTTTAAATCATTATAAGGTTGTGGTAGGGACCAAAGTATCCAGGTTATCAGAAAGTTTAACTGTAGTATATGCACCGACAGCCACCCAATAGACCGATTGGTGTCATGCGGTTGTGAACATAGATTTTGCGCCGACTGTATGACAGGACACCTGGTGTCTAAAATTGGTAATGCAACCTGATAATACAATCTACGATCAATTTGTAGCCCTATCCCTAAAGACTTGGATTAGTAAAGCACCAGATGTCGTAAGTGAACTTGATAATAATTATTAAATTTAATTTGTAAAATTAAAATCACCACAAAGAAACAAAATATTATATTTTTTAATGATACGATATACTATGTTAATATAATTAAATGCTTTAATTAAGCTTGCAGTCTTATAAATAATATGCATTATTGAAAAAACATCTAGTCCTAATAATTTAATAATTTTTACATTATTTTATTCAATACACTTTTTAATAAATTAATAAATAGTATTGCATTATAAATATTTCACAGGATCATTGTCCAAAATGTGGTAAAATAGTGCAAAGTGTCATAGACATGTACACGGTTACGTGCAACACTTGTAGGTTTGAATTTTGCCTAAAATGTAAAAGGTCACCTCATGGTACTGTGGACTGTGAACAAGCTGAAAGGAATAAGACAGAAAATGTGCTATCTGAAAATACTATTAGGCAAACTACAAAACCATGCCCTGGGTGCAAGGTGCCAGTTGAGGTTTGTTTTAAACATTATTTTCTTACCACAAAATGTAATTTAATATTTTTGAAAATTCTCTGTATTTTAGAAAAATCAAGGTTGCGACAATATGACCTGTCGCATATGTAACAATAAATATTGCTGGCTATGTTTGCGTCTATGGGCTAATTATAAAAATTGTCAATAATATAATTTTATTATAAACCTCAAAATAGTATTGTGTTTCGATTTTTACAATACTAATACGCTACATAATATATTTTTTAAAAAGTGAATAAATTTACTATTTTACAAATTTAATTTAAATACAAGTATCATTACTGTTTATATAAAATATTACTGAAAATGCACCTGACTGACATTTATCAAAGTCATTGTACGCAAAATAAATCAAGATAAAAGAAGTGTTGATATTTGTTTTAAAAGCATTGATCCTATGTAAAAATCAATAAAAATCACTTGATATTTATTAAACAAATAAAACACTTATAAAACAAAAGATCAATGTTTATATTAAACTTAATGTCAATAGAAAATCAATCATTTAAGTCATTGAATTGTGATTTATTTTCAATTAAACAGCAATCTACAAAGTTAATTAACTGTTTTGTAATAGCTCATTTTTAATAACACAATATACTTGTTACAGATTTTAATTTAATTAGTGATCATTGACAATGCGAATTATATTACTATTAAAAATTTTAACTTTATTAGTTACTGGTGAGTTTATAAATATTGTAATTTATTTAATTAATATTTATTAATAGAAGTTTATACGGACTCGACATGCAATGGGGACTGGGATGCAATTAATGAGAATAAATGTTTTAAAATTATCACTGATTCAATGCTTAATAACCAAGGTTCTCTCGATGCCTGTATTAAACATAATGAAAACGCTACGTTAATTACAATTCACTCACAAAATGAACAAGATTACATTAATCAACTACTATTTACAAAGTTTAAAATCGTTGACGAGGTATGGTTAGGTGCCCTGGTCAATAACACGACAATTAAGTGGTATGATAGCACCATGGTAGACTACACAAATTGGCTACCCGGTAAGCCAGCTAATAAATCTAATGAATGCGTCCAAATGTTATCAGATAATGATAACCTGGGTAAATGGGTGGATGTACCATGTAATAAAAAGAATTTAGTAGTATGTCAGCAAATTGTACAACAATGGACCATGGACCAAATTGAAAAGTACATTGTTGAAAATAGAAATTTGCTAGATGAAACACGAAAACAATTAAATGATACTAGATCACAACTGGAAAGTATAAGCAAAAATATTACCCATGATGTTTCACAAATTCCCATTGGATTTATATACACGCAATTAGCCAATCAAAGTGAGCCTGGTGTATTATGGCCTAAATTCAACTGGACAGATATTACGCAACAATATGCTGGCTTATTTTTCAGGGCTGAGGGTGGAAGTAGTTTGGCATTTAATGGCAGTATTCAAGATGATAATTCACCGAGGTTAGTGCAAATTGCGCAAGATTATACTGAAGCTAGATATGAAATACAAAATCATACAATAAAAGCGGGTATATTAAGTGATAATGTTAAGACTGGCGAGGATCACCCTGGTGAAAGTAAATTTTGGATATTAAACTTTCTGGTATCTGGTGGTGAAGTGCGACCTCGTAATCAAGCTACACGTTTGTGGAAACGTGTTAATTAACTTGATGAAATTAATATTTAATTTTGATATATGCACAGATTAATAAACTAAATAAGGATGATAATAATATTTGTATTATTACTTTTTTTAATTAAAAAATAAATGAATAATTATTATATTATAATTGGTGTTTAAAAACCCTAATCATAATTTAACAAAAACTATTTGTAAATTCAATTTGTAATATAGTACCTTAAATTACAATAATAGCTTAATAGCTATATAATCTACGATGCACATTCATATTAATCCGGGCCACACTAACAGTTACAATTCAGTTAAAATATTGTACATATTCCTAAATTTGTTACAACGCTAGTTTTTTTTGTGTCTCATTATAAACCTAAGTGATTTAAAATGAATTATAAATTAAAGTATAAATAGTATTCTAAAATAATTTATTATCCAATCATAAATACAAATTTATGAATAATATAATGTATAACCTTGATTTGTTTAGCATAGATCTTTGTGCCAACACATATGATTAATAATTAT